TTAATAAAACATGTTTTAAGTTGCTCAAAACATTTATTATAAAATCAAACACATTAAATTTTAAGACAGATGACAGGTCAATATTTTAGGAGCTTATGTAGGTACTTCATTTAGGTGTTAAAACATTAATAAACAAACAAAAATTGACCTACCTGACACAGCCAAAGTATTATCAGTATAAATGGTTTGTTCTATGTATAAATGCCACAGATTATAAAAGTTGGACGCTTGAATCAACCATATTGTTTTTTAGGAATAAACGTTCCCTCGCTTTGTAAGTAGTGCCAACTTACCCAAGGCCAAAGAGAAACAGGGTTGCCAGGTGTAAAAATTAATATTATCGAAGAGGGTTGACAAAATGATCAAATTTACAGAAAATTATATAAAATTATCAAAACAAAAATTGTATAAAAACAAGCAAAACTACGCGGCGGATTAAATTATGTTACAATTATCGATTATTATTTAAATTTTACTATTTTAAAAAAGAAAATTATAAAACATCTGGCAACACTGTAGATAAATAATTTTACTAAAATTAAAATTGTGATTGTCAACTGCAGTAACATATTTTCTTAAAAATTTCGTCATCTGTTCACGTGATAATGACGTCATTTATTGGTTATCATCGACCTAAGTTAATAATTGGTCGTGTTTTGGTGATTTTTGAGACGTCGAAAAATGGTTGAAATGTAACTTCGACCAAATTCGACCCAATTCGTCGACGATTCTACGTGATTTCTACGACCCTGTGTTGCCTGGGTTTCTTCAATGAATAGGCGCCAATTTTTGGTCCGATATGATAAGATTTAATAAATTTAAGATTGGAAATTGAATTTTTGGGTACTTTAGGAATGATGTGAATAAAAAAATAATTTTCGAAGAGTAATGTTTATACCGAAACCCGTTTACTTTGGTGACTTTTCCATTTAGATATTAATAATACGACACAAAAATTTCAAAAAAATTATACTTTTTACAAAAAAATACATTAGAATTTTAGTTTTGGTATTTAAAATGCCATTCCTTTGGTCTAAATATTTTCTATGGGGGATATAATACTACTACTGCTACAATGGAACAAAAAATTATATATTATATATTTGACATATACCTACCATCGGTGTACAGATGACTTTATATAATAAATAACCTTTATAATCTGTGATAGAGTCCCTGTATATTGTTGACAAAAAACGTCAAAAATATACATCCGGTACATCCAAAATAGATTTAAAGCAAAATAATTTAATAAGTAATCAAAATATTAAGGAAAAAACTTACGGTTCCTGTATACATTAACTCACCCTTAAATTTCAATTTTTATTGTAAATTTATGTTATAAATGAATATAATACACTATTTTAGGCATATTTAGGTGCGGAAAAACCAAACTTTCGCTAAAATATATGTTTATAGTGTTAAATTCAACAAACTTTACTTAAAACTGTCACCTTTTCTATGTACTACACTGAATTTTAATCTGTCATAATTTCCAATGACCACGGTCTTATATACAGGTCCTGCAACTTTAAGCTTCGAGGTGGCTTCCTTAACGTGCCAAGCCGCTAGGTGGCGCTAAGATCGAAGGGGTAAAGTCAATTAAACTACTACTTAGTTAAATGTGGAACTACTGCATAACCATAACCTAACTTTTTAAATTCTTTTTCTATGTTTTGTTTACATTTTCAAAAATTTAATATTTGTGAGTTTGTTTCGGATAATTTACGTTAACAAAATAGGACAACAAAGTCTATACTCTATACACAAAGTCCTCGGCCGTCACATGCCCAGACCAAACATGTACATAAGTAAAACATGTTAATGTATAAAATACATACGTATATCATATATATGTTACGGCTAATGTGTAAACATGGATAGTTTATAAAGTAGCTGGGTAGTTTATAAACTAGCCAAACTGTCAGCTATTTTAATTGAAAACGTATTTTTAACTAAATTAGCGGCTAGTTTGTAAACCAACCAAGGGTCTTGGCTAATTTACTTGAAATTATTTAGGAATAGCTGGATAATTTGTAAACTATCCAATTCAATTTGGCTAATATTAAAACCAAAATTTCTAGTAACACAACATAGCCAAGCTTTAGATAGTTTACAAACTAACCAACCAATATTCTGGCTAATTTATTAATAACCTATTTTTTTATTGTCTTGGCGGGGATGGGTTGATTGTTTATTTAAAATAATATATATTTCACCAACACGATGTGCTTAATTATAAATTAATCATACAAAATGTAAAGGTTTCAATAGTATGTTTTTTATTGCACATTGCCATGTTTTTAACTGCTCCTTATTTGTTGGCACTTTAAACATGGACCGCTTAATTTTAATGCCGGAACGATGGCTTTGCTGGTTACATTTTGGCACAACTCAGGACTTCATGTCTATTAAAAAGCACAAATACAAATGTATAACAAGAACAAATATAACAAAAACAAATATAACAAGAACAAATATAACAAGAACAAATATAACAAGAAAAAATAGAACAATATAATATAACAATAACGAATATCACAATAACAATAAGTAAAAACTCCCTGTAACAAAACACACCCCACATAACATTAAAAGAATATTCACATTCTTATCACATTCCCTCGAAGTGCTATTTTGATACCTTCTGCAGTGCATTTACATATTACATGCGTGTCATCTACTTTTAAAAGACCTATAGGACTTTCCAAGAAGCACATGCAAAGAATGTGCGTTCAACATGATGTTCATTTACGAATGTTCTTATCATATGAATGGTAGATTCTTTCCATGTAAGTGATACAAGGCATATGCTAAGAATATGCTATCAACATACCACAGAATGAAGGTATGCTTTGCCGTTTGCGGGCAGTAATTGACAGAGGGATGACGAAATATTTTTTTTTCAAACTTCAACCTAACTCTGTATTTAATTTTAGACCTTTCAAATGTGACGTATCATGTTAAAAGCCATAATTACTCCAACGAAATGATATAAAATCAGGAACACTAGATTTTTAAGCTGTATGAGTTTTTTTTGTTAGCGATAGTATAAAATATTAAATGACCACCATAGAAAAAGTATATGACCACGGTCTTATAAGACCGTGTAAAATTTACTCTGTCTCTTTTTGTCATTTACACTGTAAATGACAAAAAGAGACAGAAAGAGATGCGCAAGTTGTGCAGCGCTATGGCAGTGTTGTCAGATCTTTTTTTTTGTAGATTTACTGAATTAGTGATTGATTTCTATTTTCAATCTACTGAAAAAGGCGCATATTAAAAGTATGTGTTTGACCCTTATATTTTCTTTCATTAAATTTAAGGCATCGAAATTTTGACTGATACAGTTAGAAAATAAGGTTTTTAATGGCAAGTTAATTCTAAAATTAAGTAAAGCTCGGTCAAACTAAAATGTTTGTTAAAGGAAAACAAATTAAGAAGTCTGCCTTCTGCCTCCATTATCCTTTGTTTTTGTTAAAATATAATCTTAATTTACTGATCTGGCAACGCTGTATCGAATTCCACGTGGTTTTGTTCGGAGTTCGGCCGAGGCCGACCGCGACCGATGGCATTTCACATGAACGCGGAAACCTCCTTTTTCTATGTCTGGCGGGAACACCGTTCCTGTTTGTCTATGTTAACACTCTACGCCATTCATAGATAATAAATCATATAGATACGCCACTGTCGCATATTTGACGCTCCTTGTTACGCACACTCGGCCCGCTATGCCGCTAGTGTACCCGCCTGACATTTATTGGTTTTAGGTTATGGTTTTAATTTAGGTTATCCTGTCAAATTTTGACAGTCAAAATAGTAAAAAATAAAAGGCCTGATAGTTTATTTAAATTGTTTATTTGAAAAGCAAAAATAAATGTATTATATTTTAAATTATTCAAGGTATTTACTAAACTAAACCAATTAACAATATAATAATGTATTTAAGTGAATTTTATCTTATTAAAGAACACAAATCAGTATAAAGTAATAATATTATGTACCACATTTGTGTACGTACCGTGTTTTAATAAAATAGTTATAATTGAATAATACAATACAACCTTGTTACCATTGTGAAAAGTATGCATCATAACTTGACTGTTAGAGCAGCCCACAGCACAGCACAACACCATGTTAATGTTCAAATAATGTAGCAATATATAAAAAATAGAGTACACAGATAACGATAAATCGCAATTATAAAAGTTTTTAAGCGTACAGAAAAAACCAAATAAACACAATATGAATTTACAAAACTTTACATTTATCAAACTGTTTGTTGATTTCGTTACCAAGCAACCGTCAAGATTAACCGCCGCTCCTGCCACATGCAACTCGAGTGTAAACTAAAACCAAAGTCGACTAGACAAAAATGTGGATTTTGTTTGTTTAAGGCGAGTGCACAGGGCATGACGCCATTATTTTTGTGTGATAATTTAAAATTATTAATTTTATAATCTGTGGATAGTGATACCAAGGTGGGTTTAGCCAGCGCTACTTTATTGATTATTTTGAAATTTGTTTTGGATTTGGAATTATAACCTTAAAATCTCTGTGAATAATTACTGAATTGAAGCTTTTGTTTGTGGTTTTCAGAAGTTTTAGGTAAGAACAATTTGTTTTTTAATATGATATTATATTTTTTCCAACAATTATTGACTCCACCTAGGTTTACTTTTCCCTTATTTTTTGCTATTTTGATAGGTATTACTAATTTAAAAACAATTTGGTAAATTTTGAGGAAACAATTACTTTTTATTAAAGTAACTCTTAAATTTACTTTTTTTGAAGTATACTTACGTATACTCTTAAATTCTTAAATTTACTTTTTTTTAAGTATACTTACGTAAAAAATTTTTAGTAATTCTTATAAAAAAAATTAACTTTTTCAAGGTTTGTTGAATTTGAAAATGAGGTGTTAATCACTAATTGTTGGGTCTAGTATCCAACTTTATTAGCAAAGTACCTATTTTTAGGGAATTTGCATTAGCTTAATAATGGCTCCCACACGATTTAAAAAAGGATTTGCGAGAAAATTTAAGATCAAACAAAAACAAGCTCGCTTAGCTTCCATTTTGGCAATCTATAGCCAATCATCTGGCTCTATTTTAACAACACAAAGTAACAGAAATATTTTGCCATCTATGCAAAGTTCTGGAGAAAAAATTGAAGTTTCCGAAAATGAAGGAAATTGTAGCTTTTCAGATATTGATGAAGGCTTACCGAAAAGCTTACCTTCTGTTTCTCAAGATGTTCCTGAAACAAGTTTTAGAACAAATCTGGCTTCTTGGGCTGTAAATGAAAATATTTCACATAAAGCATTACGAAGTTTATTGAATATTTTGAAAGGCAATGTGAGAGATATTCAAGAACTGCAAACTTTACCATCAGATCCTAGAACTCTTTTAAGAACCCCTTCAAAAACAGAAAACTGTATAGATATGGGGCCAGGTTGCTACTATTATTTTGGAATTGAAGCAAATATCATTAATTTGTGTGACAAGTTTGATGTTAATTTGGATGAAAGTTCAAAATTCTTTATTTCTGTAAATATTGATGGAGTGCCTTTATTTAAAAGTTCAGGGGAATCATTTTGGCCTATACTTTGTGTTATTAAAAGTATTGATTCTCTAAGCAAAGAAGTTTTCTGCATTGCATTATATTTGGGTAGTAGTAAACCCAATATAAATGAATATTTGAAAGATTTTGTTAAAGAAGTGTCAGATCAGTGTTATATTCAAAAACTCCAAAACTCCTGTCTTCGATATGCATATAACATTGACCATAGGGATCACGTCAGTGAACACTATGTTAGACTTAAGATACTTAAATGTGACCACTTATTTTATAGCCAGTATGTTTTACTTGTTTACTCTATTTGTAAAACAAATGTGCCCTTATACTTGTCTAGTCTTTTAATTCAGAGGAGCCAGTGTCATAATGTTAATGTTCGTAATAAATCTTTATTAAGTGTACCTATTCATAAAACTACTAAATTTAAAAGTAGTTTTGAATACATGGCCACGTCAATATTTAATATTTATTTTAATCTATTTAATCAATGTAATTCAGCTATATCTCTTAAGCATAAGCTTAAAAGTCACTTGTTAAATGTGCAATGTCTAAGTTTAAATTTGTAAAATTTAGTCTTAAGCTGGGTTGAAGTGTAAGAACAGTGAAAACTGAACTTCCACCTTTTGTATTTATGTATGTCACTTTATACAATAAAGATTTTTATTATTATTATTATTATTATTATTATTATCTAATTCAAAATAATATTTGTATTAAAAATAGAAAATATACATTTAAAATTGCAATGATAATTTGTGATACCCCAGCAAAATCATTTGTGCTGAATACCAAAGGACATACTGGGTTTTTTAGCTGTACAAAATGTACTTTGGAAGGTGACTTTCAAGGAAATTTATATTTTCCTGAAGTTAAATTTATTAAAAGAACCGATTTTTCTTTTCGCACTAGAGCTCAACCAGAACACCACAATGGAAGAACAATTTTAGAAGATATACCGCATTTTGATATAATTAAAGGAGTACCTATTGACTATATGCATTGCATACTACTAGGTGTTATGAAAAGATTGGTTGCACATAAAACATTTGGTTGGATTTTTGGAAAACCCCCTTTTAAGTTAAGAGCTGCTAAAGTTAATGAGATATCTCGTAGGCTGTTTCAAATCAAAGAATTTATACCTTTTGAATTTAATCGAAGGACAAGGGCAATTGTTGAGTGTAAGCGCTATAAGGCAACAGAGTTTAGGCTTTTATTGCTTTACACTGGATTGATTGTTTTCAAAAATGTTATCCCTTTGGAATATTATAATAACTTTCTTTGTCTGAGTTTAGCCACACGCATATTATCTTCCAAAGAATTATGTGAAGACTCTTCACTATTCAAATATGCAGATGAACTTTACAAACATTTTATAATAAATTGCAAAGTTTTATATCGACCAGACTTTATATCTCATAATGTCCACAATCTTCTTCATATTGCCGACTGTGTAAAATTGCATGGAGTTCTGGATAATTTTAGTGCTTTTTGTTTTGAAAACTTTATGCCAACATTAACAAAGAATGTTAGAAAGTCTACGTTTCCATTACAGCAGGTTGTTCGAAGATTCTCAGAAAAAAACTTTGCAGAGATTAAGAAATGTAAGGTACTTGAAGCAGAAAAACTTTTATTTAGCCATAATCTTGGGCCTCTGTTACCCAATTGTGAGCCACCACAATTTAAAGTCTACCAAAACAAAAACTACCGATTAAATTCAGCTAAACTTGCAGATAGATTTGTGGAACTGCATAGTGGTGAAATAATTGAAATAAAAAATTTTGCATCATTTAATCAGAAAATAGTTTTAATTGGTTTCACTTATATTAAAACTAGTCCTTTGTATCAAAAACCAGCAGATTCAGTATTTTTTGGAATTGCCTATATCAAGAAAACAAATGATTTATTGAGTTACCATTTTATCAGTTCCATAAAAAGAAAACTCATGATTTTGCCTTTTGAAGAAAAGCTTGTTTGCTTTCCTTTGTTGCATTAAATAACCCTATATGTAGGCCCAGTTGGCAGTCCATAATGTATTTTATTACAACATTACACATATTAGGTAAATTGTTAATTAATTCAAATTTTAGGGATTACTAGGATATCAGTGGATTCCAACCAATAATATGGTTTGGTATGTGGTGAAGTTTACAAAAGAAAATTCTTTTGAAGTGGTACCAAAAGCCTGGTTTGTTGAGTTGTCTTTGGAGTGTTTCTGGCCACCATTAACATACAAAACCGAAAAGATTCTTAAGTTAATCGAAAACTGTGAGGGACCTGGAACCGAGTGGAAAGTGCATCCAGCAAAGCTACTGGGTGCTTACAGTAAGTTAATTTTAATAAATACCTAAATAGTTAGCAAACCTTGTTATTTTATTTCATATGCATTTACAAATTTATGAAAAACAGACAATTTATTTCTCAGGTTTGTCTAATCATCTTAAATTTCGAATTTCAATTTTCTAGAAAAAAAATCCCAATTTGAATCATAAATATTAAAATAAACTTCATTAATAGCAATATGTATATTTAATTATAGCTGATTTAAATAAAGCAAAAAGAAAAGCCAAAAAGGCACTCGCAACTAGTGATATATCTTCAAGTAATGAAGAAGCCATAAATACAAGAAGGAAAAAAAGGAAAAATCCAAAATACAGCAGTTCAGGAGCTGATTCCGATGAATCCGACAATAATTCGTACCCAATATTAAAAAAAGGTAGGTAAATAATATTTATGCAGGTTCTTAGAAAATTGGATGAAAACATTTCTAAAATCTATTTTTTATATTTTTGACTGTCTAAAATGCTGTCACTTATTACTTAATTTTGGTACACCAGAATATAATTTTAAATTTTAACAGATATTAAATGTTATATACCTAAGTAAAATCGCATTGTTTAGGATTTTCCAGCAGAAGCTTCTCGCAGGACCTTGCGCCAAGAAAAAGTCAACCAAAAAATGCACTAAAGCGATATCGCTCAAGAAGTTATTCACCTTCCGGACCTCATGATTTCACAGCTGTAAATTTATTAACAGGTATTTTAAGCATATTTCTTTCTTGGTTTTAAAACTTACATTTTGAATTTTAGAAAAATCCTTAAATGAGACAGGAAGAGGCGAAATGTCTTCGCAAATGGCATCTACTTCATTTTGTCAAACTCCACCAACCAATTTGGAGTATGAACACTCGGGTATTATTTTTTACAAGTGTTAAAGAATTTCAGACTTGATTGATTATTATGCATTTCCCTTTTTAGAACCTAGCCTAAACATGGCAAATGTTTCAATTCCCACAACATCAAGGCAACAGAAAACTATAACGTCAAGGCAGCAAATAGAGTCTGACAATGTTGCTGGTGATAATGGTAATTATATTATTTACATATTACAATATTTTAAGGCGATTGATTGATTACCTTTACATAAATATTTAGTAAATAATTCATTAAGATACAATTAATTACTTTTTTAAAGTCAATATTTTGTGGAATTATTTTTAGATTTTAAAAAAATGGTTTTAAGTGAGCTGTCTCATTTGCATTTAAAAATAAATGCAATTGGCGAGAATGTCTCTTCAATTGTAGCATTTCACAAATCAAACGCAGGCAGCCTCCTACCTACTTCATCCCTTGATGCAATAACTTCTCTGAATAAGAGACTTCCTATAAAATCTGTAGAGGAATTGAATGAATTTGAAACCTGGTTGGGCGAAGAAAATAATTATAAATTAATGGTAAAATCAAAAAGCAAAAAATTTCTTACTCTTCTAGACAGAAATTTTATTTTTAGGTTACAGAATTCAAAAGGATAGGAGGACAATCCATGCCCCAGACGGTACGACGAATCTTATACAAAGCTTTTACAAATTCTGTTGCAAATAAGTATTCATGGGATGGAGCAAAAAAGAAGGATCCACTGAAACATTTTTTGTTGGCCCGGGGAATTCTTGGTAAATATTTGAAACAAATAAATTTGTAATTACATATAAATAAATATTGTGTTATTTTCAAACTAAGCCAAAATTACAAATTGAAAGTGTATTTAGATTTAGTTAAAATATAAAAAAAAATATTGTTTTAAAAATTAGGAAAATGGAGAGTTAAGAAATTCCAAATAGATAATGATTATTGGTTTTCAGATGCTGTCAAATTTCAATATAGTCAGTCTACTGAGGCCGAAATTGTAGATGTTCTAAGAGTGTGGATGGTGAAGGCCAAAGAGCGACTGAAACACGATAAATCGCATGATGAAAACCAAGAAATTGTGACTGATTAGTTCGGGTTAGAATTTGGTTTTTTTATATATTTCTTAATTCTCTTGCAATTTACAATTATTTTTTGAGGTTTCATTTTAGTTTATGTTTTTATTTTGATAAAATAATATTTCTTTAGGTTTTCTATATATTATTTTTTTTTAAATTCTACAGCGTGTCTGTTTTTCGAGGGCAACTATTGGTATCTCGGAAACGGTAAGAGATACAGGTTCGGTTAAATTGGAACAAAATTGCGCAATTTATTGTTCAACGCCACTTCGAAATTTTTGAAAGATCTTTTCTATTTTTTCCTGATCTCATTTGGGAAGATATTTCAAAATAAACATCTTTTCCCCTCTGCATGATGGTGTAGCTAAATTTGAAATGCGACATTTTGTTGTTGGTCGACCATCATAAATTTTATTTTTTTAAATACAGACATGTATTTTTTTATTGTATCTAGAAGCTTTTTGATCTCCTAAAGTGACATACCCATCGCATTTCTTCGAAAAAATATTTTTTTATTTTTCAGTTCCTACCAAAATTCTCTTCTCTAACTCGCTCTAACACATTTAAGTTTGTATGAAAAGTGCCAATATGAATTTTTCGAATAAGTGCAATATACGTCATTGATGGTTTTAGGTAAAATTTAAAATAATGGTATAATAATAAATAAGTATTCGGAATATTCAAAATTTCCAAGTGGCGTTTTGTTAAGCAAGAAATTGCGCAATTTTTTCCCAATTTAACCAAACCTGTATCTCGTCTGGAGATCCCAATAGTTGCCCTTGAGATTCCTTTTTGGTTTCAGTTGTTTTTAATTTGTTAGAATAATTTTTTGGTTTTTCTATGTATTTATTATTTTTTTAACAATTTTATATTTAGTATTTATAAATATTATTTGTGGTCCCTTTTTGTTTTAGTTGTTTTTATTTTTAAATCTTTGGTTTATTTGTAATTTTAGGAGATGTTAATAAATGATTAAAAACAAACTCATCACATTATTTATATCTGCGGGAGCATTTCAGTAATGTTCCCTGCATATACCACCCATGTGCTCATCACATTCCTTAAACGGTATAGGAATATGATATGACTATGACAAGAATATACCGTATCATCTTCTAATCACATCCTATAAACATGATAAAGATATGCTTTCTTAAAATATAAAGAATGTGCCAAGGACATTCTTTTCACATGACAAACATATGTCATGTAAAAAGAATATGATAAGAAACTGACAAGAACATGCCTTGTCATATTCCATTCACTTTCTTATCATATCATAAGGTGTCCCTGTAACACATTCTTTTCATATTCTGTACACATTCCCAATGCTATTTTCGCATGTTCTAAGAACATGCGGCACTTATGAAGCATGTTCATATAATATGATATTCACCTGAAGTTGCTATGTGGGACAAGCTTGTTTATAAAAATGTAGGTTATGTTTCTTAACACAGCTGTGAACCAGTGCTGCCAGAGCAGATGGTCGGATAATCCGTATATATTCGTGGAAAGGGTGGGGGGAAGCCTCGAAAAATCCGTAAAAATCCGTTTTTGTCTAAATTTCGAAAAATTTCTTCTATAATTTTCGTGACAAAACATACCTTTCGTCAAAGAAAATCCGAAACATCTCAGAATTTTTCGGGGGAGTTTCAGAAGTTTGAACCTCTTCGTCAGTGATATAATTCTCGTCACTTTCCATTTTTCACAAAATAAAGTATTTTATATACAGATTCGGATATATAATAAACATTGACTTTGAGATTAAAATATTGCCACAATGAACTGGAGTCAGTATTGGTTAGTCGTTACTATTGGTGGCATTGCGCCGCTTATATATTGGCAGCAATAACAACGTGTTATAAAACCTTAACAAATGATATGAAACTATCGTTCTCTTTGTCACACTCAATGAAAAAGCATATGTTTCGCATATATTCGGCGTTTAAGAACCCTATATTAAGAACACATCCTTTTTCAATCCGCTTTCTTTTTCTGTCTAACGTAGTAAAAAGGAAGAGGAATAGAAGCGTGACAAAGATGATCAAAAAACGGGGCAAAAATGATGTTTTTTTAGTATTAGTATGAAGCTATCTTAAAAATCCGTAAAAATCCGTATTTCATGAAAATCCGTTCAAAATCCGTTTCCAATTTCTCTAGACCTGGAAAATCCGTAAAAAACGGATAAATCCGTTCATCTGGCAGCACTGCTGTGAACATAAGTAGGTAGTTCATTTGACTTTTATCCCATAGACTTTAAGGACTTAGAGCCAGTTTTACAATCGTTAGATTAAGTTAGCTTATTTGGCGGATAACTTTCATAGAAACCTTCTATCCAAGAAAATTATCCACCAGAGAGCTTATCTAACGATTGTAAAACCCAAAGATAAAGAAGGTAAAAACGACCTTTAAACATCTATGGTTTACCACCCAACTCGATGCGCCATCTGGTGGGTGTCTCATTAGAGAGGTCACTTTTCCTATTGAAATTGGGCGAAGTTGCAGGACCTGTATATAAGACCGTGCCAATGACAAAGCTATTTCTTGCAATGTTGCCAAGTTTAGAAATGGTAAAATTATTATTTTTTGATTTAAAATTAAATATTTATTGTACCAAAACAAATAGAAATGTATGTAAAAACTTTAATTAAATAATATTATTAAGTAAGTATGCACAATATTTTTGGTATTTACCAAAATAATGATATGTATCTTTGTACATTGTAGGTAGGCAACCAAGATTGAAATTTAAGTTAATATTTTAAATTGAATTGATTGAATTTGAATTATAATATTTTATTTAATAATAATCAAATACCAATAAATGTATCTACTTAATTAAACAATTAAATTCTGTTAAGATTTACTTTTGAATTTTATTTAATGGCATGATTTGCAAATTTTGTTTCTTTTGTTTTAAAACAAAATTTGATATTTTAGTTGTCATTTAATTGATAAAGTGTCAATTGTGATTTATTTTTGCTGTTTGCGTATTTGTTATATGTTTGAAAAATGAATATTCAAAATATTACCAACGTTTTTGAGTTAACTTCGAAACCTGACGAAGAACTAATTACTGCCCTACAACAGGCTGGACTTTTAAAAGCCCAGTTTCGTTGCAAGGAAAGAAACTGCCGAAGAATATGTAATTTAAGAGCCAGGGATGGACAGTTTGCTCTTAATCACGCATTTTACTGCCGCCCTTGTAAAAGGGAGTATAGCGTACTATCGGGAAGTTTCTTTCACCAAATGAGAGTGTCTGTCCGCAATGTAATCCACATCATGTGGTACTGGGCGTGTGTCAGAACTGGCTCCGTCGCCCAGATCACGGGTACTCATCGCGGGCTATCCATTCAAACCTTTCGTTATATTAGAGACATTTTATCTTGGAAATTAATGCAAGAACCATTTTTATTGGGTAAGTACAATATTATATAATATTATCAACAGTTAAGTATACCTACCTAATTGTTTGGAAGAAGTGCCAAGTATAAAGAATAAACTGACCACGCCCATCTCGATTCGCTCAGCATTTAATTAAATTGATTAAGTTCACAAGTGGCCTGGGCGGGCTTGGTCAGTGCCTGAGGCTCAGGCACTGACCAAGCCCGCCTCGCTTCGCTCGGCATTTAATTAAATTGATTAAGTTCACAAGTAGCCTTGGCGGGCTTGGTCAGTGCCTGAGCCCATTTTTGCGCGCGCTCGGCATTTAATTAAATTGATTAAGTTCACAAGTAGCCTAGGCGGGCTTGGTCAGTGTCTGAGCCCATTTTTGCGCGCGCAAAAATGGGCTCAGGCACTGACCAAGCCCGCCTCGCTTCGCATTTAATTTAATTGATTCACAAGTAGTCTGGGCGGGCTTGGTCAGTGCCTAAGTCCATTTATGCGCTCGTAAACTAAATTTATTATTACTTTTAGGAGGCCCTGGGACAACCGTACAAATTGATGAGTCGGTCATAACGAAAAGGAAATACCACAGAGGGCGCGTGGTCCCCGAAAAATGGATTTTAGGGATTTATGATACCACCAACATTCAGGGATATATACAGATAATGTTCATATACCTATAAATATAATATAATAGTATATTATATATAATATACCGTAATATACTATTATACATAGTATTTATTAAATATTATACAGTAATGTGATTTGTTTGTATATGGTTTTTGTACTTATCTCTAATTTTTAAATGTGTTTTTTTATTTGGAAAAATAGGTAAACTACTAATATGTATATACCACAGAGTAAAACAACATACCTATTAAGTTTCAATCAATCAGAATTGAAATTACAAAAAAAAAATATGAAGGCTACATTAGACACTATTAATGTTATATTTAATTGTTATAATTGTTGCATAGGTAATTAAGAGTTTATTTTGTTGTTTCATCCATTAATTTAAAAAGTATACTTACATATATACATATATATATATACATATATGTACAAACTTTATATATAAAATTGTTATCTCAATAAATACATTTTAAAAATCTGTTTTATATTATTTTATATTAACACAACATGTATAGAGAGTTCTTTAATTTATGGTATAATTCATATTTATAAATAATACCTATTTTAGAATGCAATCTGGGTTGCATACCGAATTTCCCTAAACAAGGTAAAAATATTACATCTGGCAACATTGCTTCGAATCTGACATTTTATGTCAAAAAAATTGTTAAAAATTACATTTTCAAACTTAATTTTCTCAAAAATTACTTAAAAACCCGCATTTTTTATTTTTGATATTGACTATTTAAAACACCCTTTTTTTAATGATGTCAATAAAAATTGGAAATTCGGAGTGAGTTAAAGTCGACCGGCCCCAAAACTTACATTTTAAGATAATTGGACAGAGCATTTTATTACGCAATTCGAATCCTGGACGTCAATTGGCGTCCCCGAAATGTGAACGATTTTTGGTTGTCATGGATTAAAAAAAAAAATAATTCGTTCATTCCTGGCTTCGGCCAGTGGTGTTACAAATAAAGGGGAGAATACT